GGCACCATGCCAGGCACCAGTTGGGTGTTTCATGTGTAGAACCTTCTTACCCTTTTCTTCAGTTCTTTAAATTCACCTCCCATCAGTCACTCCCTCAAGTAAAATCATACTCAGTATGAATGAGGGCACATGTGTGGTGGGCAGTGAAGAGTCAGCAGGAGAATATGGAACTTGGGGAAATGGAAATGAGGAGGAGGTGAGTTTTCACACTGAAGGCAGGTTAAGGAGAGAGCAGCACCTTAGCAAAGCATCAAGACCCCTGTTGGGAGGTGGTGGCTAGAGAAGGGGGAAGGAAGACACATGCTACCTGCTGGCTGATGAAGGAACTCTCCGGCTTGTAGAAATTCATGGACAGAGTTTGTTCCTACGAAAGCCCTACTCTTCTGTAGCTTGATCAAGTCTCGACATTTGAATTTCAAACTAATTTTGGGAAAATAACTTTTTGGATTCTCATCATATACTACTTGTTCACATGAATAGAAATAATTACTTTGCTGGAGTGATTAGCATGCCCAAGAATAACTATAGACTTTCCCCATTTTTTACTTTCACATAAATGTCAAATATCTTCTTTAAAGTGCATTTGATTTCTTTTCTTCTGAAGTATCATTAAAAAGTGGAAAATATGATGAAAGTGCAGGGAAGTGCAGGGCAATGATGGAAAATGCACATGAGGAGAAAGCCATGTTGACCTGGCAGAGAAAATGTTCTCAGCAGTGATTTTGGTCACAAAGAAACTAAAAGCATCAGACAGTATGGAATGTCTGATTTCCTTAAGTACTAAGTTTAACAGTTGACAAGGTCTCTGGCATTTCACTTTGACACTTCTTGTTTGTGTTTTGTTCTTTTTTTGGTGGTACATCCTCATTCTTTCAAATGCACATTTTGGCTTGTGATTATCTTTCAATTTCTTTTTAGAGCAATTTTTGTGAAACCATGAGTAAGTAAAAAATTTGTGTTATTTTTTAATATGAGTTCTGTCATAGAACCAATTCAGTGAAGACAGTTCAAAAATATCAACAAAGTGTTTGGGAAGGATGTGGCTAATGGACACACAGTAGATCGATCATTTGAGAAGTTCCATTCTGGTGATTCTAATATTGAAAATGAGCCATGTGGGTGACCTGAGACCAGGGTGGATAATGAGCTGAATGCTGTAGTGGAATTGAATCTGCCTCAACCTATGCATGAATTAACAGCAAGGTTTGACGTTACTATTTTAACAATATTGAACCATTTGAAGCAAATGGGCAAGGTAAAGAAGATTGATAAATGGGTAACACATGAATTAAATGAGCATCAGAAGAGAAATTGTCTGGAAGCTTGCCTTTCTTTGCTGTCACAACATAAAAGCGAACCATTTCTGCACCATATTGTTATATGTGATGAAAAATAGATTCTTTTTGACAATTGCAAGCATTAGGCACAATGGTTGGATAAAGATGAAGTGTCAAAACACAGTCCAAAAGCCAAATATGCATCCAAAAAAAGCTAATGGTGTCTATTTGGTTGTCCAGGGCTGGTATTATTATCTACTACGTTGGATAATACCATGAAACCTGGTCAGTCAATTACAGCGGATGTCTACTGCAAGTAATTGGATGAAATGATGAGGATGTTTGCAATTAAGCAGCCGAGATTGGTCAATAGAGACAGGCCAATCCTCTTGCAAGACCGCATATTGTGAAAAACAACACTGCTTAAACTATAGAAGTTGGACATGGAGACTCTCTGTCCTCTACCATATTCACCAGATCTTGCACCAACTGACTACCATTTCTTCCAGGCTTTGGACCGCTTCTTGCAAGGAAAAACATTCAATTCTCAACAAGCTGTGGAAAATGCCTTTCATAATTTCACCACTACTCACTCTCCAGGCTTCTTCACTGCTGGTATAAGCAAGCTAACGTTGAGATGGCACAACTGTGTGGATAGTTTAGGCTCATACTTTGATTAATTATACTGCTTCTTGTTTGAGATATAATAAATTACACTTTTCATTCAATATCAGATATTTCGTATTTTATGACCTAATACTACTAGTCTCATCTAAAGGAGACCAGCAGCATGTGGTTGTATTTTCCCCAGCATTTCTGAAAGCCTACTTCAGAATCGTCATCCATTCTGATTGGGGGCCCTTCACAGTAAAGTGAACTCTGAGATCAGGCAGTCTGGAGACCTTATAGCAGTCCAGCTACTCAAAGAGTGACCCTACATTGGCCACCTAACCTATCTGTGCTTCAGTTTCCTCACCTGTGAAGTGAGGAAGGCCAGACTTACCTCAGGGGATTGTTTGAGATCGCATGCCCTGGTTAGGTAGGATGCTAGGCACCTTCATTGGCAGCACCTGATAGGACCCTCAGTGAAAGAGATAAGTCTCCTCACTTCCTTTCCTTTTCTCAGGTAGAAAGATTGATTGAATGGCAAGAATAAGGACACAGAACTTCTGAGTCAGCCTCCGTAGGGAATCACTGGCAGCTCTGCAGGCAAGGTCCCTGCTTTTGTTTCTACAGGTTATTGCCCCGGGCTAATGGAGCAAGTTAAGCTGATCACATAGAGTGCTTGGGTTTCATTTTGACCAGAGCAGAAAGTGCTGAGGTCATTTCAAGCACGACAGCCACTGGAGGTCCAAATGATCCCCATTAAGCTAACTTGGGTTCTCTGCTGTGATTCCAAAAAGAGCAATTATACTTTACCATGCAATATGGTAGGGATTTCATACTGGGACCTTTTAACAAGTGTTCTTCCCTCCAAAATCTTTGCAGATCATTAGTCTAGAACAAAACCTGGGTGAGCAATCTCTTTTGTCCCTTGTTCCAAGCCTCCCAGCCAATATTACCACTAAAATAATTAGAAAAAGTAAACACAGGACAAAACATCATAAGACAGAGAATGAAAAGTGTCTGTGTACATGGCTGGCCCAAACCTGAACTAATCCCACTCCCCTTTTCTCCACCAGACATTTCTTGGGCATGCTGCTGTTAGATATTTTGTATTTGCTTTTAATTGTCCTTTGAATGATGTAATCCCTAGGCTACCAGGAAAAAGCCACTTCTGTCAAAGAAAGTTTAGGTGCACATTTATTGAAATAGAGGAGAAAGTCTAGCAGCCCTTTCCCACGCCCACTATGCACTTCTCTTGCCTATTCCAGGCCTGTCTTTTGAGAAAGATGTGGCCAGTTATGTGAGCCAATTGGGTTTCTAGCAAAGAGAAATCTCATCAACAAATCATGCTCTCAAATGTAACATAAGTGCTCAGCCTCTGTTACAACAGGCTCCTGGGAAGAGATGCTTCTTTGCATTTATCCTGCACATAAAATCTGGGTGTTTTTCTCAGTTCTAACCTATACTCCATTACACACTTTAATGAACTATATTAAAATTCTCAAGCAAAGCCTTAAGATAAAGGGCTCCTGATTGCATTTATTCACCTTTAAAATTCTTTAGTTGTTGACACCACTGAGACATGTTTGCTTCCTTTACTGAGGGATAATTTTAACATCTAAAGATTTGTTACTGCAACCACAGTCTAGAAGTAAGCAACAGACACTCTTCTGCCTAACTGGAGGGGCAGCATCTCATGGTGGGGAAAGCACTGAATGTGTGCCTCTGGCAAAGTCATTTCACCTCTTGCAAAGTGTGATGATTAGATATGGAGACGCCTGTGATTGCTTTCCACTGCAACTTTAAATACGTTTTATGATTCTAAATAGATTTTTTTTTTTTTAGTGCGATCATCCAGTGGATAATAGAGACATCTGGTTGACTTTTTTGATTGTCTACTTTCAGTGCAATTAAAAACTTAATTCTGAGCTCAATGGCTGCAGAGAGATGCTCTGCAAGTATGAGATAGAACTCTGGAGAGTCAAGTGAGATGACTATTTAAACGGAGCTCTTTCTAGGGATCCAAGAATCCACAGTTCTGTATCCTATTTATGAAATTACTGCCCATTATCAATCAACAAGATAGCCACCCCAGACCTTTTAAATGAAGGAGTGCAATAACAGCTTGTGTTATTTTAGATAAAAACATTGCTTTATCCACAATAACCACTTAGATAGAAAGAGATGCCTGGTAGGCCACACAAATATGATCTGGCTACTGTTTCTGACTATCCCTCAAATTCAATCTGCTTGACCTTTTATTAATACTTCTATTTTAAACATCTGGTTAGTCTTCCCAGATGTTTAAAGTATCCCTGGCCACCACCCATTAGTTGCTCATGACTGCCCCTATCTCAAATATGATACCCCAAAATGTCTCCAGACATTGCCACATGTCCCTGCGGGCAAAATCACTGAGGATTGAGAGCCACTAGTCTATGCTTTATCTTTTCCTAATTCTAAATTTTCTTTCTTAAGCATAAGACCAAGTGCTCAGAAATTATTACTCTATTGTTGTTGTTATTCTTCTGAAGATTGCTAACATCTTTCATTTAGGTAGGATTTCACAATTTTCCAAGTGTTTCCACCCACATTATCTGTGGAGATTAATGCATAACAGCTCTTTGTCTATAATAAATTGGAAGAGAGAAGCATTTTTTTCCTGTGAAAAGTCCCCGTTCACCTTTTTGCTGTGTTTGGAGTCTTGCATGTTTGACAAAAGAGGTCTTGCCATGAGAAAGATGGATTTAGGACAAGTTAGGCATGATGTAAATGAAAACTGGCCCAGTCTTTTCAAGAGACATTTTAAAAAGACAGATTTAATCACCTTGAAATGATGTCCTTTTCCTCCCATATTCTGCTGGCAGGATCTATATACCACCCAATGCACACATAGAAATACACATCTACAGATAAACACCGACAGAAGGCCTCAGTAAAGCCACATGAACTCCCTGAACCCTTGGCTCTTTAAAAGGTGTCTGAAAACTGTAATTGTTAGCCTAAACTGGACTGCTGCAGTTTTGTCGTGCTGCACAAAGTAAAAACTAGAAGGCATTTTTGAGAAAGAGAAAATAACATTTCCCCCACACTTCCACCTCCTCCCAGCCCTCTTACCTGCTTAAGGATTTCAGCGGCTGTTTCATGTGAACAATCAAATATCACATAGAACTCCTTGCCCTTCTTCATCTCCTTGAGTAAAGGCTTGGCATCTTTATTCCCAGAGGGCAGCTGGCGGATTTTGATTTTAATGTTATATCTGGAGGGAGCTTTGATGAGCTCTTGCAGACGAATTAGACCTAGAAAATGACATCCAATCATGCAACAGATACCGTTCTGTCGAAAGGGTATTGTTTATTGCCATTTACAGTCAAACTCATATTATCCCCAAAATGTATCAAGTGGCCACATTCTTAAAGGTTACAATATTGACTTCCCATTTGTCATTCCTCTTTCTGTGGTGGATTATACTATTTTCCCTCTGTGGGTATATGTGGATTGGAAGCACAATTTTCCCAAGAGAACGTTACATTTATTTAGAATGCAATCATTCTCTCCAGCTTTCAGCCAGCATCTCCAATCTTTTACAAATCAAATCTGCAACTGTAAAACTTTTGTGAATAAAAAGTTCCTTGAAGTTTCCAAAAGTATCCAGTGAAATAGACAACAGTTGCTCACTTTAAAAGCTGATAGAATACAAAGTTTTCTTGGGGGCTATAAAATATCTGTAAGCCTTTCATCAAATATTTATAAATAATATACTGTGTACCGGCTAATTAGTTGGGCTGCTTCATATAATCGTTCAGTTCCTGCCATCTAAACTATTTGTAAATGGCTCATTATGTTCTATTGCTAATATATTTGAATGTTGAATTGGAAAATCCTTATTTGATTAAAAGAATCATAAAATTTTTAAAGATTAGAATAATAAAAGCAGAAACAAATTTCCTTAAAAATTCACCATTGGTAATTGTAGCAAAGCATATACAACTGACTAGCTTGGCAGAGAAAGTTTGATTTACCACAGGTATGGATCCACTGAGCTGTGCCATTCTCTAATAGAAGTATTTTACTCGATCAAAGCAGACAGCCATATAAAACCTGCATCTTATTTCCTCTAACATTGACTGGTGCTTGCTACACTACATGACTCAAGGACTTCCATCCATCAAAAAACTGACTTTTTAAAAAGTATGTAGTTCTGTGCTTTCAAGATTTGTTAGCTTTAAGTAATCAGTAGAGAAATTAAGCTTTATGTGTATTCAAGCGGAAATCGTGGTATGCTCTGTATAAGATATATAGCATGTGTTCCAGCTACCTGCAGACTTGAGGCATTTTTCTTTCTCCTGTTTTATTTATGTAGGTTTTTTTTTGTTTGTTTTGTTTTGTTTTTTTGTTTACTAGAAGTAACAATTATGTGCTCAAGTGAGGAAAATTGTCTCTACCACCATAGTTAGGATTGACTCTGATATACAGTAAATTTATAATGGTACTGCTCTTCAGAGTCAAATGGGTGGGGCTGATGGGAGTGATTGCTGTAGAACCTTATCAAGATTTAGTGCTCATTATCCTTTTTGCTTTTTACACAAAAATTGAAATTGTTAGAATAATAGCCTTCCTGGACTCTTGCTCCTTTTCAAATCAACCAACGTGGTTGGCATGTCTCAAGTACTGATAATGAGCCTCTTCTCTTTTCACTTCAGAAGCAAGTGTTCTGAACCACTGAGGAGCATAAAAATGGAAGAAAATTGAGACTTGGACTCATGCATGTGTTATGTGTCATATTTCTTAATCCTCGCAATAATGCTGTGATGCAAGCATTATTATCATTATTATTTCAAATGAGGCAAAACCACAGCCCAGAGCAAAGAAGTAACTCACTCGGGGTTACAGAGATAGCTAAGAGGAGCCATTAATTAAAACTGTTGTTTGTGACTCCAACACACAATCTTTCCACTTCACCGTCTTGCCTTATAAACACAAGTTGTTGGTCCTGAGGGAACAGATACAGCTGAGGATTTTTTTGATGAAATGAAGAAAATATAGAATCTAGGACCTATTCTCCTTTCTTCTTTTCTCCAGGGTGCCTGAGTCTTCTCTCCTGTTTTCCCCTAACACCCTCTTGCTTTGCAATCACATACATTTTTTTTTTTTTTACTTGAGCATGACCACAAGGGATAGCTCAGTGTGGTACAATGAGATGCAATGAAATGCAAAAAAAATCTTACAAGTGCATTTCATTTGCTGCAATGAACTACTTTCTTGTCCTTTGCTGAATAGAATGTCAATCCAGAAGCACATCTTCCTATCGTGAAGACTTACACAGTCATTTATGGAATTTAAAGCTGACATACACATTCTCACTTCATTCATTCGTGTTTTTGGGAAAACATTTTCTGGACGCTCATTGGATGCCAAGCCCCGTGATAGCCCTGAGTGTGCACGACACACATCCTGCTTCAGGCTACTTCACAGCCCATGGGAGAATTTTATCTCATCTACTCTCTGGAGGCAGATGAAGCATCAATTACCAACTGCTTTTATAGAAGGTAAGCTGCGGCTGCTGAAGACTGGAGTGACTTGCACAAGATTACACAGCTAGTAAGTGGCAAATCCAGGGTTTAAAGCCAAGTCTACCTTCTGTACCAAATCGAAGGTTCTTTCCTCCAAATGTTGGCCCTTCCTGACTTGTGGCTTTCAGATCAACTAACTGAATGACTAACTAACTGACTGATTAACTATGTAAAAAAAAAAAAACTGTGTAAGTAAACAAAAAAAGAAACTTTAGACCAACATAGAGCATTATTTGGCACCTGAGGCCATTAATACACACGTCTCCCTAAAAAAAGTGACCATCTACTTTCACAATTGTTTCATGAAAGAAAGTATATTTTAATATCAATACAAAAAAAGGAGAACAACTCAACACAAAAAAGACCAGTTTCTAACTGGAGCAAATTTATCTTTACCAAAAATTAACTACTAAGCCTCAGGTTTTCTCATTTTGCCAATATACAGGTGAATTGGCTGCAGAAACTGGTGGAGCAGGGAGGGGGATGGGCAGATTTAAAGATTACAGACCCAAATTAGGGGAAGAATAATAAGCAAGGAATAGTGAAGTTTACATTTCTCTTCTCTTCTCAAAGCAGCAATTGTTTGCTTAAGAAAAGCCTTTTTGTCTTCATTAGCAAATGATGTAGAATTTACAATTCAAAAAGCACAGGAGACAAAATTTAGAGGAAGCTTTCCCTTATATTTGCATTTTGCAGCGATCCATCAATCATTTACATTTCATTGTAATGAATAGTTAAAAATTATTTGCTAAACAAATAATTACTTCAGGGAAAGGAAATTGATTTAGGCACAACACCTAGTTGTGCTCCTGTGTTCAGATGCTACCCCTGATGGAGTGACCCACCCTGCCAGGACTCCAGTTGCAGAGAATGGTGACAGTGCCTAAAAAGTTGCTTATGTTAGTATATTTTTCAGCCCACTAAGCCAGAGGGACTTTAAAAATAAAATGTAGACAAGAGACACTCAGACAAACCACTGGGGCTCAGAAAACAATACCCCAAAACAAAGGTCTCAGAAGTAGCCTCAAAAGCAAAATTTCTTCTCTGATCTCTTGCCCTCCTATATCTCAGTCACATTCTCCCCTGAGGCTAGCCATAGAAACTAGAATCCCTCTTCCCCAAGAAAGGTCATAGAAATCAGATCCCCTTTGTTCCTAAGTCAGCCATAAAACCTAAAACTACTACTCTAACTTTCCCTCTGCCTTTTTGTATAAAAACTGGCCATAAAAATTTATCAAGCCTATCTTATTTGACTCTAGGTGGTAAGACCCCCATTCCAGAAAGTTTCCTGCCCCAGTCCCAGAAGGAAGGAATGCATGTGCAGAGAGGCCAAGAAGAATCTAGCCAGACAGGACTTGCTGGGTTTCCCCATTCAGTTCACAAGCAGTAGATCATACCTTTTTTGTTCAATCCTATGTCTACATGGCTATCTATACTTTGTTGAGCCTAAGCATAAAAATGGACAATTTCCCCTATATCTTTGGGTTTTCATTCTGAAGCCTCCTTTGTGTACCCATTAAATAAATTTAAATGCCTTTTCTCTAATTAATCTGCCTTTTACAAATCAATTTTTCAGGGAAATTTCAGAGGGAGGAGAACTTTTTCCCTTGGCTCCTGCAAAACCCAATTGAGGGATAGTCTACAGTAAAACTCACCTGGACTCTTCAAGAATGTCAATGTCATGAATGACAAAGGATGGCTGAACTGTTCTGAATCAAAGGAGGCCACAGGAATTTTCCAACTAAATATGATACAATGATCCTGGTACAATTAGCAAAACTGGAATAATATATATACGTTTCATATGTTTAGACAACAATAGTATATCACTGTTAAGTTTCCAGTACTTGATCATTACGTATGGTTATAACAAGGAAGGTCCTTATTCTTAGGAAATTCACACTAACATATTTATGGATAAAAAGGTCAAGATGTTTCCAACTTACCTTCAAATGGTTCAACAGTGCTACTACTTAGTACTATTATTATTGTTGTTGTAGTCGTTTTTATATTGAGAGAACGACAGAGCACTAAAGCAAATGTGGCCTCGTGATAACAACTGAGGACTCTAGATGAAGAATGTACAGGTGTTCCTAGCAACTTTTCTCTAAGTTCAAATCTTTCCAAATAAAAAGACAAAGCCTGCAGATACAAAATAACATTATGAGAGCTTCCTTTCTTCTCCAACCCCAGGAATCCAATTGGGAATGTGCGTTTGGTTTGAAAAGTGTTTTAGTAAAAGAAGCCTGTTTATTTCATATGAGTTTGAACTGGACTCTGCACATGCAGACAGCATTCAAAAATGTCCAAATAGCCAATTCTAAACACTTGCTCTGGCTGCCTTTCTACTAATTGCACTCAGATATGACACAGAAAAATACTGATTTGCATGCACATAAAGTGACTCATGCAACAGGTAAAGCATATGGAGGAGAATAAAAAAAAAATCCTACTCTTTCTAGTGAGTGTTTAAAATTTTCCATGACTTCTCCTTAAATAATAATAAACTTTGCTATTTAGATTGCCCCTGTTTATGAAGTATGCTACATGCCTTATAAATAGCTCGATAAACCTTAGAATATACCTCTGAGGTGAATGGGTGTCAATGCTATCTTACAGTGAGGAAAGTGAGGCACAGTGAGGTTAATTGTTTGGATCAGCCCTGAAAATGGGTCACAAATGCCAGAAATTGGAAGAGACCTTAAGGTCAAACCCCTACTTGATGC